AAGCAGCTCAATCCTGTCATCGTCTTATAATGATACTAAAAAGCAAACATAAAGAAACATTATAATAAGAGTAATTTTGTAATAAAGCAAAAACAAAGAATAAGACAAAAGCTATGTATAAGTGTATGATAAGATATAAGTTTTCCTTTGGGAGAACTATTCTGTTTACAGCTGTTACTCAACATATTGGTGTTTAATCAAATTAACTTCCCTGCTGCATCAAACTAACACAGTATACTTTAACAACGGCAAGCCAAACTGTTTTACATGGAACTAAAATAGGCTCAGAAAATGTCAGCATTTCAATGAAATGCAGTTGAACCCCTCTGTGATGTTGTGGCACCAGGATGCCCAAGGCACAACCCAGGGACAGGCCTGTCCTGCTGACTGCACACACTGAATACTGCACAGAAAGGATTGTGTGCTTCCTACTCTGTTTCACTGTATGCATGTTTCTTCAGAGTACTATACAACACTGTATAGACTTTGCACTGAACCATAGTATCCCAGGTGGGGCCACAGTGGGCTTAAACAACAAGTTTTATGACGGGGAAGTAAAGACAGAGCTGCATAAGCAAATCTCTTTTGCATTGATGCAATCCAGCAGATCAGAGGTTGCCTTTGGACTGTTCATGTTCCCCAGTTCCCACTCTGAAAGCTTTCAGCACCACCGACAACCAAAACCGAGCCACTTAACAACATAAACCCTCAGCTGCTTTTTTCCATAGACATAGTCGTGATAAATTGAGGATAATAACCACTATTCTGAATGTACTGGAAGACAGGTGGCAGTACCTGAGTGTTGTTTTGATGTCTCCTCATCGCCAACATGGACGAGAATCAAACGCTTTCTTAATGAACAAAGATGAATGAGGGATTCTTTTAAACATGTTAAAAACGGATTCACTGCTGGCTCACTTAGACCACCACTACACCACACACACACACACACACACACAAATATCTAAATTGTAACCAGCAATAGGCAGGCAAAGCACTGGCTCCCCGACAGACCAGTGTCAGCTCTGCCATAGAGATGTAAATAATATATAATATATAAAAAAAACGCTTCTCACTTACAGTCACAACTGTTCTACTACAGTTTGATTTCTTTATTTTTTTTACACCTCTGGCTTCCCACTTTATTTTGGGATGTGTACCGCCACACAAAGACAAATTAAACGGAGGAATGTCTGTGTTGTAAATAAAGCAATCGCTAGACCTGGATGGTGTGTACGAAAAAGGAATAGGGCCACTGTACAACATGTATTTGAATTCTGCCTTCTTTTTTTTTTTAACAGAATTCTGACATAATCTCTGGTTTTGACTTTTTTTCCTTAGAATTCTGACTTTAATCTCAAATATTTGAGAAACAATTCACAACTCAAATACATGTTGTACAATGGCCCTAATCCCCTTCCATAGGTTACAGAAGTAGGTCTGAGTTCACAGTGTGATCCTAGCCCGTGTGCCGCTCAATCAGCCAATCAGGGAATAGAACAGAAGACTAGGACTGAACACTAGAGCTGAACAGATCGGTGTCTTCCTGCTCATTGTGATTACTGTGAAGTGGCTGCCTGGAGTGCGATAGTGATTATAATGATGTTTGCGAAGGCATGTTTTTTGTTTGACTTTTTCTTTCTTTTGCCTGAGGATACATGGGTGCTTCCCAGCGGGGGGTCGAGTTAAACAGTGAACCAAGTGGTCTTTCTGTGCATGTCCTACTGACGAACAATATACAACCACTGTTCACATCTTTTCTCTGTTGGGGAGCACCTTCTCCTCTCACTTTGATGATTGTGTGGGAAACTTTTAAGATGAAAAAAACATTTATTGACTTGAATGAATTTGTTTATTGATTGCTTCTTTATGCAATGTTGGGGACAATGTTTATTTTTCTACTAACTTGTTGAAATCCCTTCCAGTATAAGTTAGAATAGGTGTCATGGTTGTAAAGCTGTCTCATTCAGGTTTGGTTTTGAGCACTTTATATGCAGAAAAAAACACCCTGAGAGATAAGAGATGGCTCATTTGGCAGCTCTCAGTTATAACAAATCTGTCATCTTGTTATTTCACTATTTAGATCAGCCTATGAGGGCTCAAAAATGCATACAGATGTCTTTACACAGTGGCACATATTCATTTATTTATTGAACAATTACTTGTTGGGGAGGAATAATGTGACAGCTTGTGCAGTCTAAAAGTCATGTAGGTATCAACCCTTTTGGGAGCAGTATCTTTTTTCTTTCTGAGCCGTGATTTTTAAAAACAAATATGGTAAAAAGGCTAATAATGTGCTCTATTTGTTGATGTACAAACCTTAAGGCTTATTTGGGCTTGACTGTTTGTTAAAAAAAGATATTAGTTCACAAAGAAACATGCAATTATACCAGAAAAGACACTGCTTCAATTTGGGTTATTTGATTCCTTTTTTTTGTTTATCTCAATGAATGAATAAACAAGAAGCCAAATATATTTCTATGGATGTTAAGGTTTGCTGATGACATCTTTGTTTGCAGCTGAGATCCTCGTTTTGTATAATTCTACTGCCATCTTCCAAGAATTACAGTAATATGTCTGCAGGCATGACGTTCAAAATCTGCTTCTGGTTCTCTGCCTTTCTCCGTCTGTCCCTCTCTTTGTATCTGCTCTGTATATTTGTGTCTGTCGGTACGTCTGTCAGTGTAGAGTAAGTTGTCCGCTGTCTTATTGGAAGAATCACTGCCTGGAGAAAAAAAAAAAAGTTTTTACATCAACCAAAGGGGGTTTAAGGCAATCAGATATGTAACATAGACATAATTTGGAAGTGTGTGTCAAAAAAGTAATCGCTGTATAAAACGCTGGATGGCTTTTGTAAAAGTTTATAAAATTGGGATTATTTGTTTGAAATGAGGCAGTGTGGCTGGTCAAACCAGTGTACACTCATAACACTCACACCTATGCATGCTTGTTGAATGGCTGGCACGGGATGGTTCTTCCACATGGTTCCCTCTCTCTCCTCTTCTTTCAGCAACTCTCCATTTCTACCCGTTTCTCTTCCTCTCCCCTGTTTCTCCTGCATGACAGAGCCTCCTATGCCCTCTCCAGCTCCTTTACCTGTCTCCTCTTCTTTTCCCTCTGTGGAGAAAGAACGAATAAACAAACCAACAAATGGCATTTTTGTGCATATGTGTGGATATCTTTCACAAGGTGTAAATAATTACATTATCACACATTCACTCCTTTCTCTCTGGAGTGTTAACAAATGGATGTCTCTTTTTAACCACGTTTGGTGGCAGCCAGCGTCTCTGGCCAGCTCATTGATGCTTGTCAGACAAAACAACCACCACCAAGGAACTGGCAGAAGCATAATCCAGCCTGTCATGATTTTCCAAAAACATTCTTCTCCAGCCCTTATCAGGGACTTCATGTCAGGAGAATATTAATGACAAATTCTCACAGACAGGCATCCTCTATAGGGACCAGCTGCTTATTTGTTCAAGCTCGCATAGGAATCACAAAGTGAAAATAACTGTTGACCTTCACAGCACAACAATGTTTATATGCTCATTGATAGTTCCTTTTTAAGCCTGGAATGCTATCATTAATATAGTGTTATTTTCTTAGCCATGCTTGTGGTGTATGTGAAATATCTCAGCAGTTATTAGACGGATTTCCATCGACATTTTCCCCCGACTGCTAACTATTTTATCTTTTGTTGTAATAATCACAAGTGAAGCAGTAGAAATACAGCATTAATGTTACAAAGTGACCTATCAAGCATGTGCATTTGTATGTATTTGACTGGCCACTACCCATCTCAAGTTGTGGTCAAGCCAATGAGACAAGTTAATTTTTTTATATAATCAAATAACTTATTAAAAACAAACTTACCAGAAAAACAACCACTTGTGGACACATTCACGTGATAATATCTACCAAAAACCACAGAAGTGACCACTGGGAAAAATTGATTTGATCCGTACTTTGAGTTTTTATTGTGGCTCATGTCCCATCCACTAACATAGAGAAGGCAGGATTTATGACCTATACTGCAACCAGCCAGGTGGTGGTGATCGGGTTTTAGTGGCATCACTTTTGGGAGCTGTCAGCCTGTCCATCGTTTTTACAGTCAATGGTCGGAACATAGCTACTTGCAAATCTAATGACATTTCCATCAACATAGAGTGTATTGTTTGTATTGCTAATTAGCAAATATTAGCATGCTAGCACACTAAACTACAGAGTGGGCCACAAAAAGTAGCCCGTGTACCCATATTGCCCGTGGCACTGGTATTGGAGGCAGGCTACTCTTACGTGGCCCACCCTGTATAAATGTGAACATGGTAAACATTACACCTGCTTAGTATCAGCATATTAGCACGCTGACTTTAGCTTTTAGCTCACATTTCCAGCGCTGTGCTTAAGTACATCTTTCCAGAATAGCTACCACACCTTTGGCTTTTCTTCTAATCCTTGTTTTATTGTTGGTAATAATTCAAACAAATATTTATTATCTTTAAAAATTACAGGCTATTATAAGTGATAATATTTATCATACAGCTAATAAACAGTATGCTATATAATTTACAATTATCCATTTAAAGTGTACTGATTGAGGTTGATCTAGTTGACCTAGGTCAAATTAATCAGGTCTTCATCAATATAATATTTCATCAGGATACAATTCATTGGTGTCTCCAACATAGGTAACAAAATGAACAGGCATCAATATACAGTATGTGATATACGGTTACATTCGACCTTTCCAAGATATGGATGGACACTGAACACAGTCTGTTTGCAGATCAAAAGACACAGGAAGGCACCTGAGATTCTGAAGAGTGAAAGAGTAGAGTAGAAAAAAGTTTCATGAGCTTTATGTGCACCAGCTTGCTGAGAGCTGAATGTTTGTGAAAGCTGCAAGTCAGCCTGACTCCTGCACCCAGACAACAGCTCTGCACCTGGAAAAAAAAGTGAAATCAAATAAAAGTAAGTCTTTTATCTTAAACCTGATCCTCTTATATGGGCTCATCTGACACCTCCCCCTCTCTCTCCTTCTGCAGGGAGGAGAGTGTGAGGATGGGGATGGTGAGTGACATAGGGGAGGCAGGAGGTGAAGCCAAAGGACAGGATAAGGTAGAAGGGGATGCTGGGTCCTGTGGGGCACCATCAGCTCCTCTTGTGGTGGCCGTGCTGCCACTAATGCTCTCCATGTTGCTGGGGGAAGAGGGAGCAGTGTCACACTCAGGAGCTCCTCTTGGAGATGATGTCTTTGCCCTGGAATCCTCTTTGGACTCCAGGTCCAGCTCCCCTCCACTCCTTTTCCCCTCCCCCCACAGGTCTCTGTCCCGAGTGGGAGAGGAAGGGGTGGATGAGGAAGGCTGGTGCTTCTTACTGTTCCTGCTGGCATCACTAAAACTGGCCAGAGGAGGACGAAGTCTCACCCCGCTGCGAGTTGAGCCCTCTATAGCCTTCTGTAGCTGTTATAAGAGAGGAAGAGCTTCAAATATCATAGATGAAGCAAAAAGCTCAAAAATGTGTTGAAGTGACAATGTGGGATTATTAAAGTGAACATCCAGGGAGATGAGATATGAGGGCAGCTAATGAACTCACCACATGAATCAGAGCATAACTTATGATGGTAAATGGTAAATGGTCTTATACTTGTATAGCGCCTTTCTATGCTTTTACAGCACACTCAAAGCACATTATTCGGCCATTCACCCATTTGCACTCCAAAGCACTCACTCATGATGCGCCCTGTGACAGAACAACTGCCCACGACTATTTGTTACAGCTCGCTGCCATGGCACATTACAGGATCAAACCAAGAATGGTGACAAAAATCATGTAGATAAAGGAAAAAAAGACTTTACCTCTTTCAGCGCCACAACACCCACCAGTTTTCCAATACTGGTGACATAGGCATGACTGAGACCCAGCAGAGAGAACAAAGTATGGGTCTGAGTAATAAGAGAGAGGAGGACATGACCCACTCAGTGTTAAATGTATTGTACTGTGACAGTATTCTGCTTGCATGGCTGCACTGTTCCTAATAAACAATTTCTCTCTGGGTAAAGGAAAAAATATGGCTTTGCTACACAGCATGAATGTTCACAACATAAAATCAAGTTTCAGGAATGAATGTTTTATGGACAGAGAACAAGCTGCAATAAGCTATACAGATCATTTCTTGGTTTTTGGGCTTCACTGATTTCCATTCATATGAAATGAAGTTGGAGGACTCACAAGAGACAGATTTGTTTCTAAATGAACAAAATAAAGGTTTTGGTAAAACACTGATATAAAATCCATGAAGTCCAGTTAGAGTAATAGATTGGTCCATTAAAAAAAGTATTTTTTCTGAAAATGTGAAAACTATTTATTTAAAATCTGCTGCTTTACAATATTAAATGGTCATGACTTAAAATTGCACAGTCAGTGTCTGTATACATGATGTTCACATGCAATTACATTTCACCCTGGTGGTGCTGTGGTCACCTTGTGCAATGATGTTCTTTCCACCAGCTGAAATGGGGAGGGATCTATACGTATCTGCTCCATATCGATCGGTTTGTCCAGCTCTGCCTCCTCCCAGGCTTTGATCTGCACCATCTAATCCCAAGAGACAGAGATGGACTCAGACTTTCTATTTCTTGATTTGGGTGGATTAATTGTCTCATTATGCTGAATTAATAAAGCACAGTACCTCCTCTGGGGACATAGTGTCACTCAGCGGTGGGGCTGTGGTCTCCTTTGGAAGAAAGAAAGATTATGGACAGATGGATGGATTTAGTTTAAACATCCATACAGATGACAGTAAGATGCCCCCTGCTGGTTTCATGGCACAGCAAAATGTCAGCTCCTCTGAAACATGTCATGCTGGACTGATGCCCTTCTCTGAGCTATCACTGCCAACAAATCACTGGTGCACTGCTCCTTTGAGCTTTTACAGTGAAAGTTTAGAGTATGTGAGGCTGATCCTAGTAGTTTACCTGAGCTTCAGTTTGGCTTGACAAAGACGTGGAGGAGAAGAGTCTCCTAAAGGTCCTCCTGACAGATGGCAGCTTGCGCTTGTCTGAGGACATGGTTTGGAAACACATATAAGAGGAGGAGAGAGGAAGTGACATTTGATGGGTGAACCTATCTTCATATGTAGAGGAAAGACCATGTTACCTGAGTCTGTGTGGTTGGTGGAAAGCTCCTGAGGTTTGGGGGACGGGGTGGGCCCATTATATTCTTCCTGTGCTGGAGCAGTCTTGGGGGAAGGATATATGTAACTGTATCATGACTTTTTGAAACTAACAAACTGTACACTCATCTACTTGTGAAGAAATTTACTTTTTTTTTTCTACCTTGTCGATACTCTCCTCTCTGCCCTCCTCTGCAACAAAGGTGAAGGACTCCCAGCTGCCTTTAGACTCCTGGCCTGGTGAACTCTGACCTCTTTCAAAGACTCGCCTCTCTGGGGAGAGCCACCAGTCAAAGACAGCTTGAAGCTCTGTCCTCTCAATGGTGCCCAGAAGAATCATGGATTCTGCAGAAGCAAGTGTTGAATGTTAGTGTGACATTTAGGTCAATTTGCTTAGTCCCTGTCTTTCTGGGGGTTACATGAGATGATTAACACCTGTCTTATCTCTGAACAGCATGTACGAATCTAGGGCCTGTTAGCTTAACTTAGCTCATTCAAAATCCTGATGCTAGAATACTGACAAACATCAAGAAGAGGGAAGACATTACTCCTTAGATCTTTGAACTGGCTTCCAGTCAAATACAGAATTCAATTGCCCTACTTATTGTCTACAATTCTCTCAATGTTCTGGGCCCAAAATATATCAGAGATATGTTTGCTGAGGACAGGTCTGGTAGATGTCTCAGATCTGCAGGGGCTTGTCAGCTAGTGGTACCCAGAGTTTGAACTAAACAAGGTGAAAGTGCTTTTAGTCACGATGCTGTCCACAACTGGAACCAGCTCCCAGAAGAACTCAGATCTCCCCCAATTGTAGCCATTTTCAAAACTGAGATAAGGACTGCTCTTTTTTCCACTGCTTTTAATGAATGTTTCCTAATTCCACCCAGTATTAAACTTTATATAATTTTATTTTTTCTTTTGACATCAATTATCCAATGACAAATTGACCTCATTATGCTGTTTAGCTGACTGTATAGACACTGATCTTTCAACTTTTCCAGAAGAAAGTATGCCCACCTCAGGTGTAAATTACTCTTGGGAAGACTAAAGTAAAGGGGTACAAATGATAAGGAAAACATTGATATAATTTCTAATTATATGTGGCACTATTTCTTAGCTGGGTGCAGTGCCTTCCTGATGTTTCTAGCATGTTAATGAGTGGTCAGCTATTTCTACTTTTTGTGGTAAGCTAAATGGCCATTGCTTCATATTTCTAGACACGAGAGTGGCATTGATATTCTCATCTAACTCAACAGGAAAGCAAATAAGCACATTTCCCAAAATGCCAAACTATTTCCTAAAGCACTGACTGAATGTGAGTGGCTTTACAAGTTGTTCTACCTTTAGAGTCGACAAGGGGGATGGTTTTTAGAGTTGTGGTTTCTAGCAGATGGTTTAATTCCCGAAAGGTAGAGTGAGAAGACAAGAACTTCACTTTGCGCACCATGATGTCCTCCACAAAGATGTTATACTTGCTGGGGATGCAGAGATACTACAGTAGTTACCATTTGTATTCAAATGGCAGTTGTATGAAAAATACAGACACACAAATATGGGTTGTTGCCATTTTAACTTTACCTGATGTGCCCAAGGGTCAGCTCAGGCAGGTATGGCAGCTTCTTCACCTGGATGATGGAGTCGTAGAGAGAAGGCTGGAGACCCTGGGCCACCATGTTTGCTAGGATGACTGCCACCATCATGGGTAAGATGTGGGAAATTTGACCAATCAGCTCGAAGCAGATTACTGCTGTAGAAACCGTATGTGTGACAGCTCCAGTCATCGCTGCGGCACCTGAGACAGAGCAGAGGGGAAGAAATAGAAGAATATGTGGTAAGAGTAAGTGTTTATACTATTTATAATGTAGTAAAACTGAAAAAGGGGGGTCAGAGTGTTGTGAGTCCTTATGAGGCAGGGAGCAAAGTGTTATCATCTATCCCATCCACTTAGGTGGGCGGCCTTCTGCCTCGACCGGTTGGGGTGAGTGGATAGAGGAGAGACAAAAGAAGAAAAACAACAAGACACAACAATCAAACACTGATCAGGTCAATGTGGCTGGTGACTGCTCGTCAGAGACATAGAGCTCCAGGGCCAGGGCAACCTGCAGAAAGGTACAGGGAGAGAGAGAGGACACACTACGGGAGAGAGGAGACACAAAGTTAGTAATGTGTAATGGTGGCATATAGAAGCATAGGGAGAGGAGAGGAAGGAGAGAGCAGAGCAGAGCAGAGCAGGAGGGGAGGGGAAAGAAACTCAAAGCATCATTGGGCCCCCCAGCAGCCTAGGCCTATAGCAGCATAACTAAGGGAAGGCTCAGGGTCACCTGATCCAGCCCTAACTATAAGCTTTATCAAAAAGGAACGTCTTAAGTCTAATCTTAAAGGTAGAGAGGGTGTCCGCCTCCCGAACTGAGACTGGGAGTTGGTTCCATAGGAGAGAAGCTTGATAGCTAAAGGCTCTGCCTCCCATTCTGCTTCTGTGGACTCTAGGAACCACAAGTAAACCTGAGAGCAAAGTGCTTTGTTGTGATGAAGCTCTATGAGGTCTTTAAGATACGATGGAGCCTTGTAATTAAGGGCTTTGTATGTTAGGAAAAGGATTTTAAATTCTATTCTGAATTTCACAGGGAGCCAGTGGAGAGAAGCTAATATGGGAGAGATATGATCTCTCTTGCTAGTTCCTGTCAGTACTCTGGCTGCAGCATTTTGGATTAACTGGAGGCTTTTTAGGGAATTATTGGGACATCCTGATAGTAAAGAGTTACAGTAGTCCAGCCTGGAAGTAACAAATGCATGGACCAGTTTTTCAGCATCACTTTGAGACAGGATGCTCCTGATTTTTGCAATATTGCGCAGGTGAAAGAAGGCAGATCTAGAGACTTGGCTTATATGTGATTTAAAGGACATATTCTGATCAAAGATGACTCCAAGGTTCCTCACAGTAGTACTGGAGGCAAGAGCTATGTCATCTAAAGTAACTATATGATTAGACAGCAGATTTCTAAGGTGTTCAGGCCCAAGCACAATAACTTCAATTTTGTCAGAGTTTAGAAGTAAGAAGGTGCAGGTCATCCAGGCCTTTATGTCTTTAAAACATGCTTGAAGTTTGACCAGCTGACCTGATTCATTTGGCTTCATAGATAAATATAACTGAGTATCATCTGCATAGCAATCGAAATTTATGTTGTGCTTCCTGATAATATTGCCTAAAGGGAGCATGTATAAAGTGAAGAGAATTGGACCTAACACAGAGCCCCGTGGAACGCCGTGACTAACTTCAGTTTGTGTGGAACATTCGTCATTAACATGAACAAATTGAAATCTTTCAGATAAATAAGATTTGAACCAACTTAGCGCAGTTCCTTTAATCCCAATAACATGTTCAAGTCTCTGCAGTAAGATGCTGTGATCAATGGTGTCAAAAGCAGCACTGAGATCTAAGAGGACAAGTATGGAGACAAGTCCTTTGTCCGAGGCTAGGAGAAGATCATTGGTGACTTTCACCAATGCGGTTTCTGTACTATGATGGACTCTAAATCCTGACTGAAAATCCTCAAACAAATCATTCTTGTGCAAGTGGTCACATAACTGCTTTGCAACAGCTTTTTCAAGGATTTTAGAAATAAAC